TGTTTATTGCTACAATACTAACCTAACCTAACGTAACCTAACCTAAAACATCTGTTGTCGGTAACTTAGTAATTATATCGGAGGTTCAATAAAAAAAACAGATAAATAAAAAAAAGTTTTGTTATTCGAATAATTCCCAAAAATGGAATTTTTATAGTCGGACACAGATCGCTGGAGATTAATTTGTTTTTCGGAACCATTATTGTTTTCCTTTTGTAATTATAATAGAAGGGCTTATGTGGGCTTTACTAAAGTTGTCTCTGCAGGTTCAGGCAGCAGGTATTACATTGTAAGATACTTATTGTACTGCAGAATTCAACTTCCTTCGACTATAGACTACTAATGAGCTTGACGTATTAATCTTAATCTTGATTTATTAACACACTTCTATCAAATGTTGTGTAGAAGGATCCTCGTTTATACGAATTTTGTAGTGTTCTATGTAGCTTAATGACACTGCACTGGCGATTGTACAGCTTGATAGCATGATGTGATGATCGCAACCTAGAAGTATAAAATAATATTCCTTCATGGTCCTGTTTTGTATATGCATTCCTTAATCATGCAATATACTAACCAATCCTATCATATCAATAAATATCTTTGCCATCTTTTTCTTATTTAATCCAATTTATAGCATAAAAGGTAGATAAATACCTATGCTATGTGGTCTCTCTCATTCGCTAGACCTCCAAATCTAACTTAAAGAGATAAATGTACCTCTTTAAATGCAAGCAATAGTCCACTACTTTATTGACAAATTAATCAATAACTTTATTGAAAACTTTTTAAATATTAGCAGTTCTGTTGTATTTCATTCAGTAAATATTATAATGGTTAGTAGGCACATCTTCCACTTGCCTGCCGATGTGAACTTCCATTTTAACAATTCGCATTGAGAGGATGATCGCACACAGATGAGGTGCAAGTTACCCTTCGACTCGCCAGACGTTCGACATCCAAACATACATACATACAGAAAGCAGGTAATTACTGGGAATTATTTACTCATGCACTGTTAAAGGGATGTTACCAAAGATTAATTATGCTAGATGGTGCAATGTAAACCAGGCGTATTTATCACGTTAATATCATTGTTCTTTTAGTTTTATTTTTGGTACAAAAATATGACGATGAAATAAGTAGCAGCTTCTCTTATCTGTATTAGGTGTGGGAGAGCCATGCTTCGGCACGAATGGGTCTGCTCAACCGGAGTGATACCACGGCCGAGCAGAATACCGACGTGAAACAACGTTTGCGTTTTGGCTCCTCGTGTGGGTGATGTTATCCTCTTGACTGCACGGTTGGTGCGGTGGCTGGGCAACCGGCTGCCGTGCAACGTGTCGCGGGTTCGATTCCCGCACGGAACAACACTTTGTGTGATCCACAAATTGTTGTTTCGGGTCTGGGTGTCATGTGTATGTGAACTTGTATGTTTGTAAACGCACCCACGACACAGGAGCAAATCCTAGTGTGGGGCAACGTTTTTTTTTAAAAAAGAAAGAAAAGAAAGAAAGAATCTAATTTGATATATATACGAGGTGATGAGGTAAAGTCTGTTCCAACCCTGACTTTTTGCAAATAATTTACTTTTTAGGAAATGTCTCCAGAATTATTTATCTCCAGTTTGTAGATTAGTCGGTAGCCACACAATAATAATCTGTATAACCTAAAGTATACTAAATAACTAAATGGTAGATTGTAAATAAAAAATATTTCTCTTATTTGAATGGTACTACTACTAGGTACGTACAAATATAAATTTTAACATTTCAGTAAAAAATTAAACAATTGACCTTGCTACCTAAGGTTAATAAACAAATATTTAATAGTCCCACTATACCATATTACTGAATGCTAGCTTGCCATGTTTTTCATTATTAATATGTATTTATGTTTTAGGAGATAACCACAGACCAGAAGGAATTATTAGCATCACTGGGATTTGATGGAGGCACTAGACCTGAAACTGATACTCCAGTCATCCCTCTTGAAGATGCAAACACTTCAGTTCAGAAAGAAAGAAAGAAAATAATTTATTCGCCATGGACATATACATGGACAACCGAAAATTAACATACAACATAAACATAAACATTAAAACACAAAAATAAATAGAAATCAAAAATAAAAACAAAAAATAACAAAAAAAAAACAACAATGAAGGCAAAAAAAAAACATTATAAAAAAAAACAAAATAAAAGAAACAGGGTGGCAGTCCACGACGAAAGGGCTCGCCAACTCAGTCTAAGCTGGGCACAGTAAGTACCCAACACTGATTTTCAGTTGGCACCCCTGCAGTGACGCACGGACGGAAGCAAGGAAAAATTATTTAATGCAAAGAGTATAATAAGTATTTTTTTTTTTTTTTAAGTGGGGAAAATCATCGAATGACTGCTCCCGCCTGGGTGAGGCGGAAGGGAGTGTCAGACTCTTACTGACTAAAAACCACCCCGTTCCTCCTCCTGCACGTCGAGTCGGAGCCCCGGTTACCCGTTAGGTTCTCCGCGACTCCGAATCGGCATCGGCCCTATTGGGCCCCATCTGTGGTGGTCTGATGGCTCTTTGAGGCGCGCGCGGAACGCGACGCGCCGTACGCTCGGGTCTGTTTCTGGTCGGACGGGGAGCCACCCATGCTCGCCGTCCGCAGGCCCGCGCTTACGGTGGCCGGAGATCGTCCCGCGATCCCCGACGCCCGGTGTGTCCTTCGCGATGGCTGGGTTGCGAGGAGGCAGCGCTTCGCTGCCTCACGCGTCCCGCCTCCTCCTTAGCTAGCATGACTGCTTCGCAAAAGGAGGAGACGGCATCCCAATCCCCCTCGCTCCGCATCATGGCCTGCACTAGGCCCGGACGCGAGAGGTCGCCATCGCCGATCACTTCCCTGAGGACACGGCGGTGCTCAGCCCACGAAGGGCATTCTCCCACCGTGTGTTCCACCGTGTCCTCAGGGCGGTCCTCGCAGTGATGACACCCGGGCGTTTCCTCCCGCCCCATCAGACACAGGTACCTCCCGAAACTTCCATGTCCGGTGAGGACCTGCGTCAGGCGGTAGGTGAGGACGCCGTAGCGTCTCTCAAGCCACTCCTCAAAGAGGGGACTTACCGCTGCAATGGCAGCGAGCCTAGCCCCCGGTTGCGACAGTCGTTGCTGCCATTCCGCCATGAGATCGCGCCGGAGCTCATCCCGCCACACACTTATCTGGCGCGGCAGCGGAGTTTCGCCCCGGCGACTTGCCTCCGCGCGCATGTTATACACGCGCGCGAGCATCTTCGCCTCCAGATCCCACGGCGGTAATCCGGCAAGGAGGTTCGCCGACTCCCCGGAGATCGTGCGGTATCCGCGGATCATTCGGATCGCCATGACCCTCTGTGACATGAGCAGCGTCCGAGTAGGACGCCGCAACAAGTTCGGCGCCCAAACAGGGGCGCCGTAGAGGGCCATGGACCGCACGACCCCGGCGTATAACCTCCGGAGTATAATAAGTATAGGGGTTATTTAAAGGAAAATAATATAAATACAAAAGACACATGTTAAAACAATAAACGAAAAGGAAGAAATTTAAACACAGACCTCTATTTTTTTATTTATAAATAAAAAATATATATACATATATATCACGACAATTAGAATAGTGTGGGTAGGTTGTGGTCGTGAAGCTATCGCGTAGCCCGACACTTATTGCGAGAAGTTAAAGCGAGCAGGTCGACACTTCGCCAGCACTGACGCAACAACAAGGGGCTCGAGGGTGAGTTTGTGAGATCCTACGTTACATTAATAGTGAAAGTAATAAGTTAATTATAATTATAAAAATAAATAAATATGAAAATGTGACTAACATAATTTGTGTACCCAGTTAGGCTTCGTTCACACGGCATTGTCCTGCACGTTTTTTTGCAGTATACATCTTAACGTATAAATAGTGACCATACAACGTACGTATATCCATTCACACGTCGATTGTACTGCAAAAAAACGTGTACCGCTTATACGTTTAAACGCATACTCAACGGACTTGTCAAGCAAATCGAATGAACTTTGACGTATTCGGTTCGCAGTGGCACATAATATAGCTCTGTCTCGTTCACACGGCACGATGTTCACACGTTTTTTATCGAATAGCAACCGAAGAAGCGTTTAGTACCTGAGCGTCTTTTTAGTCCGGTCAATTTAGACAAAAAATGAGAGTGAAGTTACATAAAGTCCCAACAAGCTGAATTTCTGTGAAGTTGTTCAAAACATAATAATAAACAATGTCTAGAAGTTCCCCATTATTCCCCTGTAAGGAAAAAATTTAATTCAAGGTCAAAGGTCAAAAAAATCACCTACTTAATTTATCATTTTGGCGATTGTATTTAATATATATGTATAAATATATATATATTATAAATATATATTATATGTATTTTTATTCCCAATTTATTTATTCACTTTTATAGTATTGTTATTTAGTAATATTGATAATGTATCTTATGTAATTTACATTATACCTATATATACGGATATATGTATGTATTTACAGTTATGCTTCACATAAACCATTATACCTATTACACCTACTGTTGCACATCTCTGCATCACCCCATGGTTGACTGTTAGAGAATGCCACCCGGCATTAAGTCCGCCATCGTATGTTTGTTATACAGAAGTGTTAATAAATAAATAAATAAATAAATAAAAAAATAAGTTTTTCGCGATTTTCAGCAAAACGGTAAGTTTTATCATAAAAGTACCTCAGACAAAAATTGTAGATGATAAAATTATCCATAAAAATGTATCAATACTTTTTTCTTACGAGCCACCGTTTCTGAGATATAACGATTCAAAAACATATAAAAGTTGTTATCGTCATAATATGCACACGTTTCCACGCCACCTATGAAATAGTGTACTTAGCGCATTTTTTTTAACGTGGTTTCCCCAGTACTACTCCACGGGTCAGTTGTGATCCTGTTTAATGTAAAACTATTGCAAAATAACGGAAATTATCGGAAATTAGGACATGCCATAGAGTCCAGCAAACATCCCAGATGATACCACTTATAGTCGATACTCCAACTTTGTATGAATAGTGTAAATCTTTCATGGAGCACCCCGATGCTAAATACCTGAAAAAAAATGTATATGTACAGTCAACAGCACGTCCCTCTATACAGATCCAATATAAACTGACACGCGGCATCATTACACAGACTGGTTTGACAAGATCAGTTTATAATGGAAGTGTAAAGAGGGACGTGCTATTGTCTGTACCGTATTACTTTTTTGTTTACCGTTTTTTTTTGTCTTTTACAGCTAAAATGATTATTCAACGGTGGACTCATATAAGAGATAATTATAATCGATCGTATAAAAAGATAAAAGATCAGAAAAGCTCAGGAAGTGGCGCCAAAACAGCAAAGCCTTATGTATATAGTAAACAGTTATCTTTTCTGCAGAAAGTAATAGAACCTAAAAAGACAGTAAATAATGCTACTACCGAAAATAACAACACGGAATCCAATAATAACACAGAATCCGAAAACCAGAAAAAAAATTCTGAGGGTGGAAATGAAACATTGGAAACAAACTCTATAGAGACACATGGCACAATGGCGGCAAAGAGCCCAATACCTAATCGTGTACCTAAAAGATCTCTAAAGAATATGATTAGTCCTGTAGAAGCGAAGATGATGAAATTTATGGATTCTTATTCGAATAACGAACCTAAAACAATGAATCGGCATCTTTCATTTTTTAATGGGATATTACCATCATTAGATAAGTATGACGATGATGAAGTCCTTGAATTCCAAATGGGTGTGTTACAGTTAATGAAAAAAATTAAAAACAGTCGCCAAATTCGTGAATCGTCGTCTTTCAATCTGTCATCAGTTCACAGAGGATATTTTACACAACAATACCAAAATAGTAATATACAAGAAGCTACAAATTCTATTAGTACAAACATGAGTACAACGACTTCTCTTCAAAGTCCAGCCTCTGTAGAATTAACTACAGCAGCTTCTCTTCAAAGTCCGTCTTCTGTCGAATCCTGCTATTCTAACCACACGGATATTGATTACAAAGTCTTTTAAAACGAAACACGAATATATCTACCATAGTAAAATTGGTCAAATTTTTATTTTTTTTTAATTATAATAATTAACATTAATAAAACTTAAATAATCACAACCTGTGTATTTTTATTTGTGTACTTACCTTAAACAGATGGCTAATTTCATTTTAGTACTAATGCATTTCCGCATATTCGTATTTGATTTTGGTAGGCTTGAATTTTCCAGTCGAGTTAATAACTTTTCAAAACTTTCTACAGACATTCGAAAGTAATTAAAAAACTTTTTTTCATCGTTTCTAAGGTTTTTGAATAATTTTCCAAATGTGATCGTTCGCACAGATTCTTGATTAATAGGATGTACCCAAAACCTTCTGTTTCGTCGGCGGCGAGACCGTTGGCGCCTACGATACCAATATAAAAGTACAACCACGCGTGGATCCATCAGTGACGTCTACTCACTGTGACAACTGTGTGAAGACTGCGGCTATTCGTCTTTTACACGAATCATAATTTACCGTGTGAAGACCCGGATGATTGTACGTTAAAAAAACGAATACGAAAAAAACGTGCAGGACAATGCCGTGTGAACGAAGCCTTATACGAATAAAATAATAAGAAGGATAAATGTCAGATTAAATAAACGAAATATCAATATTTACAGATTCACTCTCAATTTGAGAGTTAATAATAAACTCCTTGAGTTTTCGTTTAAAAGTGAAAGTGCTTTGCAGGTTCCTGATTGGCGGAGGTATGTTGTTCCAGCACTTAGAAGCTGCATATCGGAAACTACCCCGAAAAGCAGCCGATTTGTGCTGCGGTATAGCCAGCTGTTGTGCACACCGCCTACCCTCCCGCTGCCGATGAGCATTCACCCACGAGAGCCTCGAGTAGAGGTATGCTGGACACTTGTACTTAATCATACCAAATAGGAGACATGCCAGGTGGAGCTTACGTCGGGACTTCATTTTTAGAAGATTGTACTTGTTTAAGTAAGGTGTTATTTGACTCCTAGGTGGAATTTTAAAACAAAAACGCGCGTAGGCATTCTGAACCCTCTGTATCAATCGCTTAGTGAGTGAAAACAGTCTAGGTCCAATAACCGCGTCAGCGTAGTTTAGCTTGGATAAAACCAACGACTCAACCAGTCGCACACGCAACTCCTCGCTTAGATACGGGCGCATTCTGTAAAGTATCTTCAAGCGGTAAAAACAGTTTCTGACGCAGTTAGAGATGTGGGACTCAAACCTAAGACCTTGATCCATTATCAGACCCAAATTTCGCGCTTCATCGACACGCTCAATGATTTGACCCCTCAATAGAACGTTAATATTACTAGGAGTCTTGTAAAGTTGCGTCTTTGTTCCGAAAAGCAAAAATTTTGTTTTGGATGGATTTAAGATGAGGCAGTTGCTGCTTGAACAGTTCACTTTCCTGTCGAGGTCCTCATTAAGTGAATTCACAGCACTCGCGTATTCTTCCGGTCTAAAGGACAAGTAAATCTGTATATCGTCAGCGTAGATATGATATTTGCATGTTTTTATTACATTGATGATGTCAGCACAATATAATAGGAATAGGGTAGGCCCTAAAATGGATCCTTGGGGAACTCCCTTTGTCACAGGTTTCACCTCGGAAGCCAACAAAGATCCATTACCATTGCGAAATTCAACCAGCTGCGCACGGTTGCTGAGGTAACTATCGAACCATTTAATTGTTGGTATGTCAAATCCGTAGTACGCCATTTTAGAGAGTAATAGAGATAAATTGATAGCATCAAATGCCCTCGAGAAATCCAGCAGGACCAATATAGTGCACAAACCCTCATCCTGCGCAGCCAGTATATTGTCTGTGACGTCTAACAAAGCCGTGGCCGTACTACGCCCCCTCCTAAAACCAGATTGCGCATCCGGCAGAACACTGCTGTCCTCTATAAATTTGGAGACCTGTTCGTTTACCACCCTTTCCAAGACCTTAGACATTAAGGGTAGAATGCTAATAGGCCTTAAATCTTTAAGATCGCCAGGATTGTTTACTTTGGGTAGAGGACGTACCTTAGCTAATTTCCAGGCGCCCGGAAAAGTTGCCGTTACTATGGAGGCATTTATAATACGCGTCAGGACATTCAAAGTCTGTGGTATTGTTAACAAAAACATATTCAGTGCTATCTGGTCACAACCTACAGCATTTGATTTTAGGCTGGTTATTATTCTTAGAATTTTCATGTCATCAGTTGTATTAAGGTAGAGGATGCAATCAGAGAACCTATGAAATTCATAGTAGGTGTAAGTCGACAGGGAAGTAATTGTATCGCCGGGAACATTCAAAAAATGATCATTTATTTTGTTTGGGTCATTGAAATGTGCGGGTAGTTCATTATCAGACAGAGGCAGCAAGGTGGATTTTAAATTCTTCCAAAGCCTCTTCGGATGTTTGATGTTGTTATTAATATTTGATTTGAAGTAGGCTACTTTTTCAAGGTAGATTGATTTAGTTACTAGACTCTTTAAATCCATGTAGTATTGTTTTTTGTGAGTTAATGTGATATTAATTCGGAATTCCCTATAGTCTTTGTCTCGAAGTTTCATCATAAGTTTAATGTTTTCTGTAATCCACGGATAGGATCTATCCCTCATCCTAACACTCCTGCGAGGTGCAAATGTGTCAAACAGATACAGTAAATTGTTTGTCAGACAGTACACCATATAGTCCACGTCATGAGAAGAAATTACCCCACGCCAGTCGATCGCGTCCAGAGCCTCTTTGAGATTCAGGTAACTCACATCCACTATACACACACTATTCTTTTACTGAACCTAATTTAAAAACTTCTACTGTAATGGATTTCATTACTAATACATACTTACTACATTTATTATATATTTCATTATTTTATGTTATGTAGTATTGTTCGTTCATTGTGTATCCATGCTATAACTTAATGTGTGCTTACTAATATTGTAAAATAACAAGTTCTGATTTTTCAGGAGTTGAATTTAGAATTAGATATACTGGAATCATTCAACCAAAGTTTAGGAAATGAAAATGGCAAGAGTCTTCGTCGGCTGTTGTGTTCAGAAACTTTTGGGAAGTTATTATTAGCAAAAGCCGATAAAGAAGAGAAGTTGAGTCCACGTGACCGCGCATTTCTTGCCAAGCTCATAGTGGAGACAGAGCTCAGGGCATTAAATGAAATATCTGTCACCATAAGTAAAAATGTATGGGTAGATTGGGCAAATGAGGTGGTGTCTGTATTCAAAGGAGAGTCAGCTTCAATCTATTATGTACCGTACCATGTGATTGGCGGTAAAGTGATTCAGGCCAGTGGTCTATTCCACAATCGGTTAATAACTCATCGAAGATTATTAACAGACACCAAGAAAAGAAAGAGTAGTACTAGCAGTGAAAGCAGCGATAGTGGTGTTGGTTGTACTAAAAACATTTCTAAGCGTATAAGACCTCTTCCAGAAACATTTAAACTGAATTCGTCAGATGTAAACTCGCCTGAATCTACAACAGCTAAAGATTGCTATGAGTGGCTGCGAGCTTCCTCATCCCCTCAAGATTTAGTCGCCGCGAAATGGATTGTCACTTTTGAATTCCGTCATAACGAATTATCCGGGGGTCTCTCATTCAGAGAATATTTTAAGCGATTTCCTGCCCTAAGTTTGCCTACTAGACACAAATTGGTAAGTTGCACATTATGTGTTGTTCATAGTTTTTGTTTATAGCTTTGGAGCCCAGGGTACGCTTAGACCATCATTCAGGATTTGGGAAGACTGATAATTGCAATAAAGCGAGTGCCGTCTGACCTTTGCAATCATGGTTACACGATGTTTTTCCTCACCGCCGAGCTAATGTTAATTATTTTTTTTTAGTTATCCCTGGACTTCGAGACAGTATATCCAAATGCAAATAAAGTATTTCAAGAGAAATTTCCGTTTATAAAAACAAAACTATTGGAACTTCTGGCAGAGAAAGCAAGCTCTGCTAGACCTGATCAAACTAGTCTTAAATCTTCTCGATTTAGCTACACGCGTGATTCCGTTACCGTGGGAATATCGAGATAAAATATAGCCCATGTTAATCAGTAATAAGATAATGTAGCATTCTAAATTGAACTTCTTTTTTTTTACAGTCGGAGAAGAGCAAGCTTCTTTAGCAGCATTCTTGGCAATCGTCAGTCTTTTACGTCAGGTGCCACCGATTTGTATACCAAGAAAAAAAGTGTGGAAACCCTCCAAGGAAGAAGTTCGTTCAAGTTTCATCGGGCATGTCGTCACAGCTTCAGACGTTGACAGATATTGATATCGCCGATAGGGGGAGTCATTAGTAGCGACGAAAGGTATTCCTGAACAACCATACATTGTTGCTGTCGGATCTTCTTGGGCCAATATAACTCATTACGAGATCGTAATTTTTAGAGAACTAAGGTACCAAATTCCAAATATTTGCTCAGCAATCACGAAGATTTATCATATTTATTGGGCATTAGATGCTGCATATCCAAAAGATTCAGCTATATGTAGGATGTTTATCCAACGTGCAATGTTTACAATGAAATCGAAGTATGATACTGAGGGAGTGCCATTGCGTGAATTATTGCAAAATTGTAATGTTTAAAAAATTTCTAAAAATCTATTCCGTGTGTGGCACGCGAGGAAGCGACTTCATTTCAAATATTTGCATATGATTCAAATAATTACAAATTGATTTTTTGTGATTAGTTTATAATGTAACCAAATGAAGAATTTATTTCTGTTCAGATAATAAAGAATCATCATTTAATTGCACTTGGGTTTAGGGATTGAAATATAGGCATCATTATTGGTAACAATATGGTACCTTGTGCGGTGTGTGAATTATCCTTTCAGACTTTTCGACGTTTAAAGGTCCACATGGAGTTTTGTCATCCGTCTGTTACTTCATTTAAATGTGCCAGTGCAGGTTGCTGGAGGTATTTTCAACTTTTTAGTTCATATAAAAGGCATTACCAAAATAATCATGTGGTGCCCATGCCAC